TGTTGTGTATGTAGGGAGATAGACAAATTTTTGATGTTTTTCCAGAATCCCTTATTTTTAAAAGAATAAGCTATCTTGCATTGCCCAAGGTCCTTTTTTTCTTGAAGAAAAAATTATGAATACTATAAAGAAGTTTTCATTTCCCATATTTGCTGATCCTTGCACCCAGATTTAGACATGGATTATTACTTATAATGCAAGGAAAAAGAACAAGGAAAAGAGGGACTCATCTAACATTATCCACTGTGTACCACTTTCTTTCCTTCATCTTTTCATTTAACTCTTACATTAATACATAAAATAGCATTATCAATATTGAGAACAGTATCACTAAGCAATCTGCCAAAAGTCACTTGCTAATAAATCATAAAGTTAAAATTTAAATCCAAGTTTCTTTGAGCACAAAGTCCATATTTTTTCTATTACAATCTGCTGTGTATTTCTTAGTCATAAAGAAAATGTGTTCTTCRCAATGAAAATTAAGTTTATTCTTATTTTAGTTGTTCCTTGTTTGATTATGTTAGTCACTATTTGGTCTTTACCCAGCAAGTACATTTATTAAATGAAAGAAGCAGGAGGAGCAAGATGTGGATAAAGAGCTTCCATTCATAGGTGGGTAACACTCACACTTGCAGGTTCGACAACACTGAGATCAATGGGCTAATTCCATAACTGTTGGCTTCTGTTAATTCTAGACACACACCAGCAAGTGACATTGATTTCAATTCCTCAGGGAAATGAATTTTAATAGAATAATYTAGAACAAACTTAAATTGGAGAGAAGTTCTTATTTAGGAGTTTCTTCTGACTTTTTGTGGAAAAGAAATATTTCTGAAAAGTCTAGGTTAATTAATATGGTTGAATTTGAATAATCAACTGAAAAATATTCCTTATTTAAAGGTAACTTATTGTGACTTATTCTTTAAAATAAAGAACTTAGCCAGGCATGGAGACACATGCCTGTATCCTAGCAACTCGAGAAGCTGAGGCAGGAGAATGGTAAGTTAGAGGCCAGYCTCAGCAACTTAGTGAGGAAAGATGCTGTCTGAAAATAAAAAATKAAAAGGACCAAGAATGTGGCTCAGTGGTAAAGCACCTCTGGTTTTAAATAAAATCAAGCGCTTATTCCATAATTTAATCTTTTAATTATGAAGTAGTTTAATTCATATTTTATAGTAAAGTATGACTCCTATGTACTGTTTTACCATATAACTCTATATGTAATTACACTTTAAATTATGTTCCCTCCTTTTTTTTTTTTTTTTTTTGGCAAATTCTCAAATATCCATGGTTCTCTAGAAGTTAATGAAGTACACTTGTTAGTTATCTTAACACACAACTACTCCATTCTTTTAGTTGTCRCTTGGAAATTTCAAATGGTAAATAGTAAGCTATAAATTAATGAACAAACTATGTTACAGGAAAAATGAAATTTCTTTAGGTAATTTGTATAATTCCTTTAGGCTATCTTAGACTTTCTACATGACTCCTTTTATATCTGTGCTTTCCTATACAATAGTTTCTAGGCACTTGTGGCTATGTAAATTTAAGTTAGATGAAATTAAATAAAATTAAAAATTAATTCTTCAGTCACACTAGCCATAACTTCAAATACTCAGTAGCCACTTTTGACTTCTATATCAGACAACCATATTGCACAGAATGAATATAGTACATGCCCATCATTACAGAAAATACCATTGTACAGAGTTGTTCTATGATGCAGAATAGACACCAAAATAATTCACCTCTTTATCTTTAGTCTTTTTCTCTGCAGTATTCCCAAAGATTGTAACAATGATTACCACAGAGTGGTCAACAAATATTTGTTGAATGTTAAATGGATGAATAAGTAACTAGAAAACAAGAAGTATCAAGTTTCAATTCTAGAATACTCATTGAAATTCAAGGTTAAAAACTAGGTTAAGGGGCTGGARCTGGAGGTAAGTGGTAGAGCACTTGCCTTGCAGGTGTGAGACCCTGGGTTAGATCCTCAGCACCACATAAAAACAAACAAGTAAATAAATAAAGATATTGTGCTCATCTACAACTCAAAAAAAAAATTTTAAAAACTAGGTTAAGATCCAGAGAGGTTTTGTTTTTGCAGTGCTAGAAATCAAACCCAGAGCCTTGCACATGCTAGACAAGCCCTCTGCCACTGAACTACCACTTCATCTTTGAGAGGGAGGTTTTATGTAGAAAATACTGTATAATTACATACAGTTCAGGAAACAGGAACTTGGACGAAAATCATTTTTATGTTTGCATCCAATCTTAATGGGCGATATATGATCATATTTAAAAGTTGATTCATTTCTGTTTCCCCAGAGATTACTATTATGTGCTAAGGTTAACTTCATTCATGTTCATGCTTTTATACCCTTAACAGGCACATATTATTGACAACATGTAGTACCAGTCAATGTGTTTGCAAAACAAATATTGATGATTACTGAGCAATAATTTTTACATTTTTTCTATAACTTACTATTTTACCTAAATATTCTATTCCATATATTTTATTTTTGTACATTTGGCATTTAACAATTGCTTTATAGCACACAAGTTAATGATTATTTCACAATCACATAAAATATCCAAGTGTGTGTATTTGTGTGTGTGTGTGCATTTTTTTTTCCTGTGAAGCTTTTTTTCCCCCTAGTACTCAGTCCTTTACTATTTTATAAATGATTCAAAAGTCACATTCAATATCTCTTCTCTTCCTCTAGATTTGGGCAACATGCATTTTTTTCTGTCTCTAATATCTTCTTTGGCACTTCCCATCTTTAAAATTACCATCATTAAAATGAACAGAGTGGGGCTGGAGTTATGGTTCAGTGGTATAGCGCTTGCCTAGCATGTGTGAGGCACTGGGTTCAATTCTTAGCATATAAAATAAAATAAAGGTCCACTGACAACTAAAAAATATTGTTAAAAAGATTAACAGAGAAAATCCAAAATTATCTTCAGGTATTATTGTACACGCCAGGAATATCTTAAAAAAAAACCATAGGGACCTGAAAAAAATTGAATTAAAGGAGGAAAATGAAGCTCAAACTCTTCCATTTCTGTTTTTAATAGAAGTTTTAAACGCAGGACACTATCACAATCTGTTTTGAAGGGGAAAAGAGAGTATTTTTCACAAGCAGAAACCCTATGAAAAAGGATATCATTTATAACATCCTAGATATTTAGACAGTCTTCAAATTTCCATAATKGTTATTTGTCCTTGATCTAAATTATTTTTTAAGGATGATAAACAAAATGTGTGTGTTTTCCACATTAATTTTGGAATTTAACAGGTGGGCTGGGATTGCTAATGCTAACTGTAGTTGCAGGAGTGCGGGCAGCAGGTGGCAGCAGCTCCCACTCCAACAAGTGGAATCAGAGCAGGTCAGGGCACCCTTGGGGCCTCCCTTGCCACAGCCTTTCCTATCATAGCTCCTTTCCTATGTGGAAAGAAAGGTGATATCCCGCACAAATCCCACAGACTTTGGCAAAATACACAGGGTTATTTTGTGTCCTATTTACATAAAGAGTGAATAACAAAATTAGGAAAGGTGGATTTTAATCTYTGGAATTTCTCTTTTTTAAATTTAAAAGCCCCAGTGCCTTCAATTTATAGTATACTTCCCGTGCCCATCTCTTCTACCTTCATGCATTATTCTAAGTATTATCCAAGTTTTTCCTTTCTAGGGAAGTTGGCCATACTTTTATACTTTTTGCTGCCTTAAAAAAAAAAAAAAGACAGGTTCTCCCTAAGTTATCCAGGCTAGCCTCCAACTTGCATCCTCTTATCTCAGCCTCTCAAGTCTCTAGAATTATAGGTGTCTGTCAGCATGCCCTTTTTTGCTACCTTTTCTTAAATAACTATAGATGATAATAAAGGTATTAATGAAAAATGATGATAAAAATGACCACTTATTAAATATGTGCTATGTTGTAGTCTCTCTTTTGGAAGTTTTACACATTTTCTCTAATCTGCACAATAATTCAATGATTTAGGTTGACTGTTTTCCCCATTTTATAGATGTAGAAACAAAGCACAGGAAGATCAAGTAATTAGCCTGAAGTCACATAGATAATAAATAGAAGAAGTCAGACGAACACAGAGACCATCTGTTTGATCTTAGAGCCTGTGCTGTTCATCATTGCTGACTGGGGACAAGAGGATTCTAATCAGGGAGGCAAATTCCTGCTCATATTGAATATTTTAATTCTGCTAGGATACAAGTTGCTTCAAGCTCTTTAAAGTGTACATATTTCCAAAACTCCTTTTGAGGAATATAACCACAGGTGGAAACTTGAGGCCACTGGCAGAAAGTTCAGCATGGAAGAGACATTTGATAAGGATAAAGTTTACCAAGAAGACGAACCCCAACTTCCTCATTTATTATCTGTGGGAGCTTGGCAAATTATGTCACCACCCAGCCATTGACTTTCCTCGTTTGTTAAATGATGAGAGTAATACTCAATGTTGTTGTAAAAGTTAAATGAGATGACACAGTTGAGTTCCCAGGATACACTCAGTACATTCTTAGTTACTATTAGTTCATGTGCATCAAACCTCAACTGCAATGCTAAATATACCTTGGGTAGATGGAGCCTGAAAAAGTAAGKAGGAGAATAAAGGACAGCAATTGGACGTTAGTTATTAATTTTATATCTCCCTCAATGAGAGTCTCAACAATGAGTACATAACAAATGCTTGTTGTTAAATTGATGAGCAAACAAATCCACAAAATTACATAGCCAGTGGCTATTTTACATATGTAAAAATTTGCACAAGTATTCCAAATGCATTTTAAAGGACTGGGGTTGAGACTGTATTGATGATCCCAGGAAATTTACTTATGACTAAATAAGATTCATGGGGGCCCCTTTTTTATTTTTGGCTCATAGGCCCCCAGTTTTTATTTGTAACACCATTTATTGCTCTCTGATATATCCATGTTGTCATGTTTAAAGATAATTTATCAAATTAACTGGTTCTCTTCTAGACCCAAAATGGAAGATGCTTGGGTATTTGCAAAGCCCAATGCCATTCAGGCTGTTGGGGTCATGTCTTTTGGTGAGTACATGGCTTCAAAAGGCCCCTTCCCAATAATGAGTCACCTATTCACTGAAAAAGATCTATTTGATATATATGCCTAGACGTCTGGTATACTAAGTTTTAAACTTCCTATTAGCAGTGTATGACCTAATTTATGATCAAACTTTTCTCACTCATTACTAAAATTTGCTTCAATTTGGAGAAATCCATTTCTCACACAGAAACCCTTATAGTTATCTTGTTTCTTAATTTGGAATTCTAGCAAGTGTTATGGACTTCTTCAAAACTTGCACACAATGTACTAAGAATTGGCTGGATATCTAAAGCAACTCTGTGTCCCAGATGGCAAAGGAAGTCATGCATTGATAATTATGGTGTTGTTTAGATTTTCCTTTAGATTGGAAGGGTCATTAGGAGAAGGAAAGTGGGAGAGAAGTTTGGGTAGTCTGGTTTATATCAAGACAAGATACAACATAAGCCTGATATGAATGAAGTTTCTTATTTCTAGACTCATTAGAAAAAATGTTTTCTTGTATACTTAGTAAAATAATATTTTGAACATGAGTTGATTGACATTCTAAAGTAGTATTCATCTCTAAATTACAGAATAAATGAAAAAAAAAAACAACCTGGACTTACTTCAATAATGCTTCCTTTTTTCTTTTTTTGTGTTACAGCATTTATTTGCCACCATAACTGCTTCTTAGTCTATGGTTCTTTGGAAGAAGCCACAGTAGCAAAATGGTCCCGCATCATCCATATGTCCATCTTGGTTTCTGTATTTATCTGTGTGCTCTTTGCTACGTGTGGATACTTGACTTTCACTGGCTTTACCCAAGGTAAAATGAGAGATTCAGTTCCATGGTATTTTGGTGTTCATGTGGATTGGTACCAATACACCCAATGTTCTACTCAATTTTTAGTACAAATTTGTCCACTGTTATTTTTGAAATAATCACTCTTCCACCCATTCTTTGCTCTACCCTCCTGTCTCTCTGCTGTTTCCTCAAATTTCCCCTCTAAACTGTTAATCTTAGTTCTGTGGTCCATAATCTCTCCTTCCATCCTCACTCTAGGCTCACGAACCCAGGTTCAGGTCCTCCCCTTACTCTACTGCATCTTCAAACTCAACTACCAAAGGCCTCCTCATGCTCAAAGCTGATAATCTTCTGGGTTCTGTGTCTCCTGTCTCTTTCTGAATCACCTAACAGCACTGAACAACCTTTATTTGCTCAAATTTCTTCCTACTGTACTCTCATTGTTATTCTTTCTGTTGATTTTTCCTTTTTTTTTTTTTTTTTAATTTGACCTCTCTCATCCCCTAGTCACCTGGGTGATTAGTTTAGGCAAGTTGCCTGCTTCTCTGTTAACAAATTCTCTAGATGTTTGCATCATTTTAATTCTAATCCAGACTTTTCTTATCCAGACTTTTTTCTTTTTCTTTCCCAGCCTGTAGGRCATTTTTATTGAATTGTTCCATTCTCCTCTTAATTACAAAACATCATCTTTTCCATAAAAGCAGTCCTTTCCCTTCCTCCTTCCAAAGTTACTTCTCTTTTCTTGTTTTCACCCAGGTGCAACAACTGAATCATCCTTTCTTAAAGGGCCCTTGACCTTTTCATTCATTCATTACACTCCTATGAGTGCAATATGAAGGGTAGTCTGACAGCAGGCCAAGGCTGTGATTCATGTATTTCACAGCTTTTGCAGGTCTGGTGTCTCACTTGACCTTCAAACAACCCTTGGAAGGTTAAGTGGAATAACTAGTTTTACCTCCTTTTAAGACACAAAGAGTTGCAGTAGCTTGCCTATGCTGGTTTGTGACAAATTAGAGAAAAAGTCTTCTGACATCCAAGTCCCATTTTCTTTTCATTCTCTTCCAGCCTCCTCCATTTTCGTCTACCATGACCCACTAAAAGCTGTCTCTTACCTCCAGCTCCTCTGGGCTCAGTTTTCTGTGACACTAGAATATTCTTGGGAGAATGGCTGCCTTTTTTTTTTTTTTTTTTTTTTTTTTAACAGAGATTACAGGTCACTGTGATTGTACACAGATATTTCTCAGAAAATGAAGAAAGATGGCTTAATAAATAATGAATAACATGATACCAATGCAGCCAAAATATAATACCTGTGTGTGCCAGTAAAGAGCAGTTAAAAGGGACCCTGAAGGTCTTGATAAAAACTATTTCGAAACATTGGCATGTGTCACTATTGCTACACAGTTTGTCAAGATGAATGGCCTAAGGGTTCTGGTCTGTGTGGGACCTTGGGTTTTAAATGCCTCTTCAGTAAAACATAAACCTCTTTTTTTGCTAGTCACACCTTCCTGGTGTGTGTGTGTATGTGTGTGTGTATGTGTTTTTTTTTGTTGTTGTTTTTGTTTGTGTGTTTTTTTTTAATAAGTGGTAATTACTCAGTATAATTAAATCTTTCTATCACAAAGCTGACAGGTGTTTGATGTGGTGGTTGTTGTCCTTATTTTTCCCCTGGCTCTAATTCCCTAAAATATATTTCATTTCAAACTGGAATAAACTGACCCTGGTCCTTCAGGTCATTTCTCCTTAGGCAAATCTGGTCTTGTTTGTACAAACTGTGTGCTGCTTTGCTCCCCTTGATGAGTAGATAAAGTCCAGCTTGTGAGGCAGTAGGAACTCTAGATTATTGCTGACATTCTCATTGACTTTTGATAAGGCGCAGGGCCCATTTATTAGTGAAGGCTAGTGAATGGGGAATTTTACTCTTTTTATTTTCAGAGAATCTGGAGCCTTTTCAATCAATTTTCAGACAGTTCCCTGTCACTGCTGCTTTGTGGTACAAACTCATTCTGCCCAAAAAAGGACATTAGAAAGGAATGTATGTTTGTTTTACTTGATGGGGGAGTTGAGGGGGTCACTTAAATGGATCAAGAGGCAGTTCATTTAGGGTATTTAGCTTTTTAATGAAAAGAGTACAAAGGCATTATTTTGTTTTCTTTTTAAACAGTAGTGAGATATGTGACTTTGATGTAGTTTTGTACTCAGTGCTCTTGAAAAAAAGGCAACTGCAGTTTTCAAATTTAAGCACGCTACTTGGGAAATAAATGGATCCAAATGCATGCTATTTGAGAAATAAATATGTTATTCAGGAAATAAACACGACTGAGTGTTTCTGTCCTAATTAGATTCCTGTATTTCTTCATCAATTTCTGCAAACAAAACGGGATCTAAAGAACTGGTTCAAGGTATATAGTTCATTATTTAGTCTGGAACTAAATTTAATGTTCTTTCTGGGAGGCAGCCATATTTTCAGTTTTGAAACAGTGCATTTACACTCAGGCACATCGGATGACATAAAAGACAATATGTTTAGAATTCCTTGGTGTGGTCCCAAGACTGTGATGAACCCCTACAGCATCGTGTGCAGGAAACTCAACTCCCCAGATGTACTGGACTACTCTTCCTTTCAGATTTGTCCTTGATCTAAGAATAGCACTTCAAAGGGAAATTTGTTTATTTTAATAGATTTTTTATATATATGTAATTCAGTCACTTACCACAAACAAAGGCCAGAAACAAATTTACAAAGCCAGTGAACAAGAATTTAGGGAGTTGATTCTAATGTAAGAAGACAATGGATAAAAGTGTTTTTTAGAATTTGATTCAAACTTGAGGCAAATACACCAAAAACAAATGATAGGAATAATAATAAAAAAAAAACTATTCGTGTTGCATTTCTCATCAAATGGGATACATATTGATTTTAATATCAATAAATAGCTATATGGTACTGAATGCAAACACATTTAGACCTGGTAATCTATTCCTTTAATTAAATAAAATGAAGATTATAGAGCTTGACTTATAATAATAAATATCTCATTTGTTATGTACCTCAAAAATCTAGTATCTAATAAATACATTATTTTATATTATTCTCTAGGGGACTTATTTGAAAATTATTGCAGAAGTGATGACCTGGTAACCTTTGGAAGGTTTTGYTATGGCATAACTGTCATTTTGACATACCCAATCGAATGCTTTGTAACTAGAGAGGTAAGCATGATTCTTCTTTAATACTTTATTCAGGTTCTCTCTCTACAACACTTAACTTAGGAAGATTTATAAATAATTTTATTCTGAAAATTCTCAAGGACACGACTATGATGTAATTTATAAAATTTTCTTTCTCAACTTAGAATATTAGAATATAAGATTAATTTTTCAAAAGTTAGAAGTGAAAATTATATTTATAAGCATAAGCACAAATATTTATACAAATGCATTCCAAAGTGAATGCCAGCCTTTAGTATAGTTAAACTGAAGCTGTTGGCTTTTTTCTTTTTTTTTTTTCCCCCAATACCATGTGTAGAACCAAGGGTACACTATCTCTGAGGTACATCCCTAGCCCTTGATATTTTGAGACAGGGTGTCATGTCAGTAAATTGCTAAGGCTGGCCTCCAACTTGTGATCCTCCTGTCTCAGCCTTCTGGAATAGCTGGGATTATTGATTTGCACCATTGCACCTGGCTTACTTATTGGCTTTTTTTTTTTAAGAGAGAGAGAGAGAGAGAGAGAGAATTTTTTAATATTTATTTTTTAGTTTTCGGTGAATACAACATGTTTATTTTATTTTTATGGGTTGCTGAAGATCGAACCCAGTGCCCCGTGCATGCCAGGCAAGCGCATTACCGCTTGAGCCACATCCCCAGCCCATACTTATTGGCTTTTTAAAAATAGTATTCTTACAAATAAATTAAGTACCAAGGTTTAAAAAGCATTTTTCAAAATTGTAGTTTTGGGAAAACATTTTGTAAATCAATGTGCATTGAATTCTAATTGGTTTTGTTATTTTTAAAAAACTAAAATRTCTTATACACTSTGGGGAATCAAAATGCAACATCAACCTATGATTTTACATATATACTTCATTTATGTATTTATATGTATACATTTATATGTGACATACAAAAATCATATAAATAATGTAAACATACAGTATATTATTTCTCTACAATTTTTTTTGTTTATAAATTCATTTCCAAATTATGCTGTATAATCCACTTGGATTTGTGGAGAAAGATTAGCTGAAAGAGAATGAGTCCTTTTGGTGTGAAATGGGATAGCATGGCTTGTCAGGAATCCCTTTTGCTGACAGCTAAACACCCACTGCACTGGTTAGCAGTGAAACATGATCCTGAGGCACAGTGGTTCTTTCAGGAGTCATACTGAAAAGGGCTTAGTCTTAGGATCTATTCCTGGGGGCTGTTTACACAGTGCACTATGTGAATGGGTCTAATGTATGAAGTGAAACGTCCACAGAGCCTTAAATGCACTCAATAATCAGCAAGCCTCTCAGGACAGCCTGGAGCTTCCCTTCCCATGGGCAGTGCTGGGTGAGGACGAGCACTGGGACTTGAAAGAGGGAATAGGGCAGCACTGTGTGTGCCCTCTGCTACCAGCATTTCTGCTCACTTGCTAATGTGGCATTCACAGGCCATTTTCTACCTTGACTAGAGGGAGAAGTCAAATACACTGATACTTTATGCAGGTTTTTAAAATGTAAGAGCCTTTTAGAAATTTTCTAACTATTATTAGATGCAGGAAATGGTATTCTTGCAGCATCTGCCCAGGACTTGAGGTTCAGATTTGATCTCTAGATCAGAAAGAACAGATGGTGCATTCCCATGCGGTTTCTGGTAAACTGTGTGTGGACCGTCTGAGTCACTTCACCTGGGCAGCCTCTGTCTTCAGTACTTGGACCTGAATTTCCTTTCTAGCTCCCATGACAGGAAGACAGAACTAAATCAAGATCTTTGCCATCGTAGCAAATATTAGGCAGAAAAATGTCATATATACCTCACCCGTTCACTTCTTTCTATACACATAAACACACACACACAGAGCTAATATAATGAAACTATCTCAAATCATGGGTAAGATATCCAACCACATATAAAGGGAACAAAAAGGCTGTGTGTCCCTAATAAATATCCCTCACTAGCCTACCCAGATTTTTTTCATTCTCACAGTCCTATACTAGAAGTTTTGATAATAATAGATTTTAAATAAGATAATATTTGGAAGACTGTTCAAATTATAATCAGTTAGAGTTATTAGTTCAACTCTAGAAGAGCCACGGCAGCAACTGGCCTCTGGGGAATGTTACCTACCAAGATAACACAACTTGGAGATCTTCTTCTTTACCATATTAAGCATCTGACCCTCTCCTACCATGCCATCTCTGCCCCTGATCTTCTGCACAGTCACTCCTCTATTCAGTTTCCTGTCTCCCTCCACAGGTTTGTTCCTACTCTCACCTCTTTGCTCTTTTGCATGCTATTGACTCAGTTGGCAATTCAGCTTCAAATTTTATCCATGTTTCAATCCCTATCTCAAACCAAGGTGAGTCCAGAACTTTTCAGGAATGCTGTAAAGAAGATTACTTGAAGGGAGATAGATCTGGATGATTGAAGCTCTTTCTAGTTCTAAAAGCTATTTGATATTTTTTGTACCATCACAAATTGATAAATTTGTTTGTTTGTTTATTTATTTATTTTGGTACTGGGGATTGAACTCAGGGACACTCGAACACTGAGCCACATCCCCAGCCCTAATTTATAGTTTATTTAGAGACAATGTCTCACTGAGTAGCTTAGCACTTTTGCTAAGGCTGTCTTTGAATTCACAATCCTCCTGCCTCAGCCTCCTATATACATTCATTTCTTTAGATGGGTTGTCAATTTCTAGTTAGGATGTTAATTCCAGAGAAAGGAAGAATCTCCCAGACATCTTCTCTTTGTAAATTATACCACAATGTGGGATATAGGAGACTGTCAATTGGTTTCCTGATCTGAGTATTAATAAGAAATAGTGATAAACTCTTCTCTATATTTTTGTTGAGGAAAAGCTATATATCATGGACTTAAATTGTAACAATTAGGATTTCATTTATGTAGAATCAATTTCCTCTTAGTAAAGGATATTACACATCCAGCATCATTAAAAGGAAATGTGGTAATGCTTTCCTCAGAGGCCATTCAAGTAATCTAAATAGCATCTGCAGTTTGTTTTAGTAGTAACCTTGTTAGGCTCAAGAAGAAGGATAAGGTAACTTCCTAAGGGTTTGCTTATTCTTGAGAGATGCATGTATTTAAACCCTGCTGTGTCATGCTTTGCATCTGTAATATAATCAACTGACTGACTAATAGCACCGCAAAAAAAAAAATACTTGTTCTTGCATTATGTGTCTGTGTGTAAGTAATTTGGAAATATAAAACATTCATAGAGACAAAATTTGATTGTCTTATTGACAATATTGTATATACTCCTACATGCTATTACAAAATACTCTTTCAATAAATCTTGCATGTCTGAAGACTACCTCTCAAAATAATCTGTTTATTTGGCAGGTCATTGCCAACGTGTTTTTTGGAGGGACTCTTTCATCATTTTTCCATGTGCTTATAACAGTGGTTATAATTATGATAGCCACATTGGTTTCATTGCTGATTGATTGCCTTGGAATAGTTTTAGAACTCAATGTAAGTACATTTAAAGATCTTCTTCTTCCATCCTAAACCTCCCTTTTTTTAAATATTTATTTTTTAGGTGTAGATAGACACAACACAAGGCCTTTTTTTTTTTTTTTTAATGTGGTGCTGAGGATAGAACCCAGGTCCTGCCCTTGCTAGGCGAGCGCTCTACTGCTGAGCCACAATCCCAGCCCCCTAAAACTCTTTTAAAATAATGGTTCTGCTGGGGGAGGAGGCACTTACCTCTGATCCAGCTACTATGAAGACTGAGTCAGAAGGGACACAACTTGATGGCCAGCCTGGGTGACTGAGAGGAGACCCTGTATCAAAATAAAAAAGGAAAAAAGGTTGGGGATGTAGCTCAGTGGGTAAAGTACTCAGTTCTGGGGGTGGGTGAAAATGTTTCTATTTAATATAAGATGTATTTTCCTAAGAGAATTGTCACTTTCTGAATTAGAATGAAAACATGTTTGTAATATAATAGCAAATATTTATAACAATGATACTCTGCACTTACATAGGACTATATAGTTTTGAAACAGTGGGTCTCAAATAGGGGTTAACTTTGCTCTCCCCACCAATATCTAGAGGTATACTATTAACTAGGTGGGCAGTACTGTTGGCATCTAGTGAGAAGGTGAGGGGTACTACCAAGATCCCACAGTGCACAGCACAGCCCCTCACAACAAAGTATCAACTAATTGAAAACATCAAGAGTGCAAGGTCATGGTTGTATGATATATAGACATTTCTAAAAGAAAAAAATATTAATTAAATGGACCTGGAATATTTTTTCTGGGTAAAAATATATACCTAGTGAAATTCATTGAAAATATGAAAGGAAGAGAGTTATAACCATATTGTATAATCACTTACCCAGGCCAAATTTCTTTTTCTTTTAATATTTTTCTCTCTCCAGATCTTTCTTTTGTAGCATTTACTGCCACCATTCAAATCTAGATCTTCATCACAACTACATCTAAATTGATCCTTTTTTTTTTTTGCTTCCACTAGAACATATTAAAGTTCTACTTTCAGTTTATTAGCATCCTGCCCCAAATATCTCCACTTTCCTCCCAGAGCAAATATAAACAGAGTTTATATTTGCTTTTATGAAAAGCTATTTTCCCTTTACCTAGTAAAATCTACCCTCAGTATCAGCCAACCTTCTTTTTATGGCTTATATATATATATTCCAAATCAGTTCTTTCTTTTGTCCTTTGTCTTACCTGTTTCCTTTTCCTACAATGACCAGTTTCCTTTCATTTCTGTCAATATACCACAAAGACTTCACAATCGAGTGCAAATAATAACACATGTACTCATAGATCACATATTTATTGTTTACTTCTTTCGTGTCACAAAACAGGAGTGATGGAAGGAAATCAGAAAGGATCCTTGCTTTCTCACAAACATAAAAGTTCAACTGCTATGTAGGTGATGGCGATGATAGGGAAGTAGATAGGATATCTAAAGACATTTTTGAGGAAAATATGTCATAATTTGGTGACAGGTTTAATTAGAAAGACAGAGGAATAGAAGGGCACATTATGCATGACTCCTTGGTTCTAATTCCTAAGCAGAAACAGCAGATTTCTAAATGAAATCACACCGTTTAGGATTTATTAGGTTATGCACCATGGGAGGGCAGAATTTTATAGGTAGRATCCCAAGTTATCATTCACACATTACGTTAAGAGTTAGGGCTYGGAGAAAGTATTATTGTTAGTGCCCAAGACACTATTCCCTCCAGATGCCATTATGATTTGAAGTTCCCAGAAAAGGCCATAGGAGATTCTGTTGAGAACACATTTCTGGGAATTTTCTGGGAACAGAGTAAATGGAAAGTGGAGAATATGCAACTTTTCAAAACCTCAGGGCACTAGGAAATTGCCCTTTCACTGGTGGTGAAAAACAAAGCCCAGCAGCACACAGTGAGGTGTGCCTGAAGTCCCAGTTATTTGGTAAACTGATCGAGGAATACTGCCTAAGCCCAGGAACTCAAGGATAGCCTGGGCAATATGGTGAGATCCCATCTTGAGAACAAACCAACCAACCAACCAGGAGGTGGACAAATGCCAAAGGCAACTTTAACCTGTTTCCTAATTTTGCATAGGACAGGGCTAGTAGGTCCACTCAAGATTATTTCATGTAGCAACCTTGATGCAGTAACTTTAATGAAGTAACTTCATTTGTATATTATCTCATATCATGTGCTATTTGAACCATCTGTAAATTTGTCTTCCCTACCAAATTGTAAGCTCTTTGAAGACAATGTGTAGCCACCTTCTTCATTTTCCATGATACTCGGAATAAGGATAAAAACAGTGTGTTCAAATTCCTGCATGGGTGATTGCCCCTTGATACCAAAGATCAGGACTTATTTTCATGTTCCCACATATGACATTGTTTAGTGTAGTACCAGGAAATAAAGTATGACAAAAAGTGTTGGTGTTAATAGTAGTAGTAGTAGTAGTTGGTGTTAATAGTAGTAATAGTAGATACGACCAACATGATCCCCCACTCTGTTTTCTCTTGTTTTATGAAACGTCTCATTTGAATTCACAAGTTTTGTTTTTTAATGTTGTAGAATTTTGTTATGAGGAAAAATATATCTATCAGCTGCCTAAACAGGCAACCACATCTTGGTAAACTAAGAAATGTTTTGTTTGTCTCTAGTTAGCCAAGCACATACATATGGCTCATTTTTGGGAAATGATATATTTTTGTAAATTTAACCATTGCTTTACATAGACTTAATTGCTAATTTTCATGACACATGTGCAACAAAATCCTTAGCACATTAACACTAAATATTCACTATTGTACTTATATTAAAAACATTTGTGATTAAGATAGGTCCTGGTTATTATAGTCAGAGAATACTTTGYAAATATTAAAAAGTCAAAATCTGAGCTTCTGTGGAAGACTACTTTAAAAAAAAATTAAAACATAATTCTAGATTCCTAGATTTTTTTAACCTATATAGAGAGATACACAGAAAACAATTATAGGAAAGTGTTATATTGTTGGCTATAACCTAATAACCCAAGACAATGACACCTGTTTTAAAAGCATTTTGCAGAAATTAGTAAAATCTAGAATCTCCATTCTCTATAGACCACCTGAAAATATGTGTTTTGTCCATCAATAAAAGTTTTTGGTATGCACAATAACATCTTCTGCTCTTTCCCCACCTCCCTTTTGTGTGGACACTGACAATGAGTAATCAAGCCACATTTAGCATCATTTCTGTCAGTAACTAATACATGCTGGAACATGCAACATGTGAGGAATTAACTAAAGTATACTGTGTTCTACTGCATAGGGATAATATGAGCTAACATGTACATATGCTGGGCTAAGTACTTTGCATGCATTATCTTCCTTGATCATGTTAACTTTACAGATGCAGAAATTGAGGCCCAGTGATTAATAATCAATCTGAGGCCATACAAGCTAAGTAGAAGAATCAAGATTTGAACACAGGTATTTGGATCCTCTCTAGCCCATACATTTAATCATTGCATTCATCTGAGATTTTCTACATGTCAGGCATTAAATTATGTCAAATAATTCTGCTTTTTTACCCATTTTATAATTAAAAATCTATGCATTGAGTTCATTTGCAAATAAGGTTCAGAGTGATTCATAATACATATGAATTGACTTTAATAATGGTTTAAAATATCAGGAAATGGATTAAAATAAAACTAAAACTTTTTAATCTTAAATTATAGTTAATAGCTTTCATTTTAATTTATAATTTGGGGTGGGGGCTGTTGGAGATTGAACCCAGGTCCTTGTCATCTTCATTAATAATTGTAGTACTTTAGGAATTCTTTTCTATTATGGCTTCTCAATTATCACTAAGTAGAACAATGACCTTCATAGATGTGATACATATTAGAATAAGATCTTGGGAAATTAGGGAAATGTTATTTAGTAAAGTTGAACATCAAAGGAAATTATTTGGGGTTATATTACTTATTCAATAAAATTAAAACCTCATTTAGAGTTTTATGTTTAATTCATCATTTTCATGGCAGTAGACAATGAAATATTTTTCCAAAGCAAATGTACCCTCACTTTTAAAGGATTAATTTTAAAAGCAAATAAAATGAATGTAAATCTCATTCTTGGTAATAAGAATCCAGCATTTTGGCACTGACATTGCTATTATAGAAAAGAGGCATGTACAGTAATTGGGCCCTATGGGTTTCTACTTGCCACAGCACAAAGAGAGGGAAAAAAATGAAACAGCTGGTGCCTGTGGCCAGAGTAACCAGTTCAACTGGCATTGTGTGAAGCTTGCATGGAAGTAATAAAGCAAGCCAAATACCCAGTGAGATCCCAGATACAGAAATACAATCATCAGAGTGAGCAAGACATAGTCCAAGTTGACAGATCCTGAGCTAAAGACAGTTTTTGGTTTTTTAAGGTATAGAAATAAATTTAATGTGTCTGAACTGGTTAAAAATAGAAATTTAAAAGATTAATAAGTATTATTTTATTTTTTTTTAAACCTTCCCTGCACAATTTGAGAGGTTTTTGTTCAGAAAAGAGAATTCAGACACTTTTCCCATCCATATAGTTGGTAAAATTCTTCAACACTTTCTGTTCTTTCCCTGTTGCAAATGGTAAAATGTCCTGGCATCAGTTGTACTATTACCAGTGGATAGCACTGTTCTGTCTTTATAAATAAAACCATGTTTTACTCTCTCTTTAATAAGTAGTTCTGATTTTACAAACTGTCAAGCAATTTTAAAAATCATTCCAAAACCAGTAATGTATCCTCAAACAGRTCTATACTAAAGGAAGGAAATAAGTTGGACTAATTTATGGGAAATAGAGCAGATAGAAATGCACTATCATTTTACTGATGATCTTGAATTCCAGCAACAACCTCTCGCAAAACTGAACTTTCAAGTTACCAGAAAGTAACTGGTATTCAAGACGTGGTAATCAACTGGGCTCCTTCCAGTACAAACATCATCAATGTAATTTTCTCTGTAATTGTTACTTTCTCACCTCTTATGAATTACAACATAAACAGAACACCCCTTTCTTTGCCCTGCCCAGGGAGTTAGGTTTGAAAGATTTCAAGGGCTGACAGCAGCCTTTCCATAGCAGCTGACAGCAGTTGTCATCCTGATGATACCTTCAGATTCTGCAGCTCCAGATCTGTTCCTACAATGAGAAGAGACTACATATACAAACCAGTATATACATGGATTTGAATTATTTTGTTTCAGAAATTCTTCCTTCAAAGAAATCATAGAGTRTAAGCACAGATTGAGTTCTATAATATTTTCTATAACTTAGAAAAGCACTGTGAGGCTGGGAGGCAGCTTGGTGGTAGAGTTCTTGCCTAGCATTTCTTTAATTCTAGCCATATGACAGCTAATCTTTTGTTTATTGTGTACCTTTATGGGTATTCTTTTGTATTCAGGCACTATAAATTGCAAAAGTACTTTGTCTACATATTTTAAATTGGAATGTAATATTGTTTTATCTTACTCATTCCTCATTCTTGTGTTTCTCTTACTGGTGAAATATTTTCCATGCAGTGTGGTCACTACTATTCTTCCACAGACCTTTAGATACTCCCTAACTAGTCTGATTTGATAATGTGAAACWTGTAATTGACAATTTAGATTTCTTTTTTGGTTTTGTAAAAAACAAAAAGAGGTGTATTATTGAAATCATAGTAATAATATTTCACCTATAATAATATAAGTGGTGCTTAATGTGGAACACACAGTAATTTGATTAAGTGGTGACATTGAGAAAATAGGTAAAGTTTTTTTTAAAATATAATTTGTTATTCTTCATCATCCAACTTCAAATTCAGTTTCCTTTGGTTGAATCTGGGAAAAATCTGTGAATACAGTTTTCCAAAGAGCTCATAAAACATAGGTTATAGATGCATAGAGTTTCATTATATTATGCTTATATATACTTACAAATTTACACAATGACCTTTTAAAATATAGAAAAACACTTTAAAGAAATCTTGTATTTAATTATGAATCAATATTGCATTTTTAGTTATTGATTATGTATTTTAATACTTTTTTATCTTTAAGACAATAACATGTTCTATTTCACATTAACAAAATGAAAGCTAATAACCACATGATCATCTCTATTGACAGAGTAAAAGCATTTGATAAAGTCTTCAGCAGCCTTTTGTGACAAAAACTTTTAACAGTTTAAATATAGAAGGAAAGTTTCTCCATGTAATAAAGAACAGTTATGAAAAACTCCCAGTTAAGATCATAATCAATGGGAAATAACTATAAGTGTTTCCACTAAGATCCAGTACAAGTGAGAGATGCCCACTTTCAGCACTTCTATTCAACGTACTAAAGGAAATACTAGAAAGAGCAAGCAGAAAAGAAAAAGACATATGATGTGATACAGCAATCTGTATACGGGGTAAAAATGGGAGTTCATAACCCACTTGAATCAAACTGTGAAATATGATATATTAAGAACTGTGTAATGTTTTGAACTACCAACAATAAAAATAAAAAATAAAAAGAAAAAGACATAGAAGACATCTGAATCAGGATGGAGGAAGTAAAACTATAGTTGTAGATGACACAATTGTGCAATTGTGCCAGGTTTCCAAAAAATTCTAGAAATAATAAATGAATTTGGTAAAGCTGAAGAATCCAAGTCAACATACAAAAATCAGGAACATTTCTTTACACAAATAACAATTTAGAGTAAATTTAACCAAGGAGATAAAATACTGTTGAAAGGAATTTAAGGAGGTTCAAATAAATAGAAGGATATTCTGTAATGATGAATTGGAAAAATTACTATTGTGAAAATGTGTATATTCCAAAGCAAATGTATAGATTCAATACAACCTCTATCAAAATTCAAATGGAGTAATRCATAGATAGGAAAAAAATCTAAAACCTATATGGAGCCACAGAAAAAGCCCAAGTAAACTAAAGAAATTAAAGAAGGAAAACAAAGAGGAATGACATTTCCTGATTTTAAAAGATATTGCAAAGCTATAGTATGGCACTGGGATAAAAATAGAAACATATTAATTGAGCAGAACAGAATCCAAGCATATAGTTAAATCAGTATTTGACAAGGTCATCATGATAGGGAAAGGATAATTCCTGAATAAATAGTGCTGGGAAAATAGATTTCCACATTCAAAAGAATGAAATTGGACCCTTAAAAGTCAACTGGAAAGGCTTAAAAGACAACTGTAAGATCTGAAACCRTAAAATTCCTAAAAGAACATGGGATAAAACTCTTTGACATTGGTTTTGTCAATTACTTTTAGATATCAGAGCAAAAACTCAGGCTACAATGGCAAAAAAATAAATAAATAAATAAATAGAACTACAGAAAACTAAAAACCTCTACACAGCAATGGAAACAGTCAACAAAATGAAAAAGCAACCTAGGCACTAGGGGAAAAAGTATTATAATAAGGGGTTGATATAAAAAAAATTTAAATAATTCTTAAAATATATCTTTCTCAAAAGATATAAAAATGACCAATAGTAAAAGGTATTCAATATCACTAGTCTTCAGGGAAATACAAATTAAAATCATTGTGCAATATCACCCCAGAGCTACTAGGATGAATATTATAAAATAAAATAAAAAGTTTCTTAGTACTTCTTTTTTGCTGAGGCTGGCTTTGAACTCTAGATCCTCCCGCCTCAGCCTCCTGAGCTGCTGGGATTACAGGTGTGCATCACTGCACCTGGCTAATAACTTGATACTTCTATAACTCTACTACCCATTATTTTCAATCTGGCATTCTACCAATAAATATTGGCAAGGCTGTGAAGAAAAGGGAGTCCTGGTATGTTGTTGGTTAGAATGTAGATTGGTACAGTTACTATCAAAAACATTATGGAGGTTCCTAAAGAAATCAAAAACAGAACTACCATTTGAGCCAGCAATTTCTATTCTGGGTTTATAGCCAAAGGAAGTAAAATCACCATCTCATAAAGATATCTGTACTTCCATACTCCCATGTTAATTGTAGCATTATTCACAACAGCCATGATATGAAACAACCTAAATGCCCATCAGGGGATAAATGGATAAGGAAAATGTGGAATATATACACAATGGAATGTCATTMTGCCTTTTAAAAGAAGGAAATCCTGCCATTTGCCATGACATTAATGGATATTAGGCTAAGTGAGCAAGCCAGACACAGAAAGAAAAATATTACATGATCTCATTTATATATGAAAAAATTTTAAAAGGTCAAATATACATATACAGAGAATAAAAGTGTGATTACCCAGGGACAGAGAGTAGGGAGGAAATGAGATAAAGCTTAAATGACACAAAGTAGCAGATAGGATGAACAAGTCTAGAGATCTAATGTAGAACATAAGAACTACAGTTAATAAAATTGTATGCTATATGGGATGCTTGTTAAGTATATTTTAGCTGTTCTTTTCACATATGCAAAAAAGTGATTATGTAAAATAAAAGTCATGAACTTTGCATTACTATGATAATCATTTCACTATCCATATGTATCCATAACACTTTGTTATGGATAAATCTAAAATATACACACACAAAAAATCCCACATAATTTAAAGGAAAACTTTTATTTTGTGGGTTGAGAATAAAATTCACTATATTTTAATATATTTTATTAATTTTATGTTCTATTTAATATATGATGTCATTAAAATGGAATAATTAGAAAAAATATATTACCAAAAATGAATTGAATTTCAACATTTACATCATTTKCAAAGTGTCTAGTGAGGTTTAGGACTATTCAGGGAGAAGTCTCCTTTCCTTTGAAGTCAATGACTTGGTATTTTGGGGATGGGGTTACCAAGGATGGAACTCAGGGGCACTGGACCATTGAGCCACAACCCCAGACCTATTTTGTATTTTATTTAAAGACAGGGTCTCACTGAGTYGCTTAGTGTATCTCGTTTGCTGAGACTAGCTTTGAACTCTCAATCCTCCTGCCTCAGATTCCCAAGCTATTGTTATTACAGGCATGCACCACCATACCCTGCTATAATTTGGTATTTCTATAACTCTGTTACCTATTATTTTCAATCTGACATTATGCCTTAGGTTAAATTTATCTACAGCTAATGTAGGGGCAAGTTATAGTCATTTAGTTCTGCTGTCAATTTTCTAGGGTAATTAATGCATTTCATTTTGCTTGAAAGAGGATTTAGAAATGTTCTTCCATGTTAAATGCCTTGTGGTTATAGTTTTCCTTTCTCAACACAGACAGGCACTACTTTCATACAAGCACAGAATTAGAGGAAGACAATATGCCCATACAATTTTTCAAAGTCCCCATTTGTACACAAAGGACAAACAGACCACTCAGGTTTGAAAGGCATAGTGGATACCATAAATGAAGAATATAAGGACACAGGACGTGACTGAAATAAAGGGAGACTGCAGATTTGCTAGAAGTCGGTCTTATTATGTTTCATTTTCTATATTATTTTCTGATCATCTGGTCTTAAGTCTGATGTACTATTATATATTATCTTTTTCATTTGTAAATATTTCTTTGGAAAAGGAAAAACCTATTTCTGAATCTTTCTTTGAATTATTTTTCTTTCCTTTGCTTGATTCAACAGGTGCAATAAAAAATACATTTTGAAAATGTTTTTAAAAATTGTCCAAAGAATGTTTCCATCTAGTAACCTTATCTTGTTTCTTGTTTTCAACTCACAGGGTGTGCTCTGTGCAGCTCCTCTGATTTTTATCATCCCCTCAGCATGTTATCTGAAACTGTCAGAAGAACCAAGGACACACTCAGATAAGATTGTGTCCTGTGTCATGCTTCCCATTGGTGCTGTGGTCATGATTTTTGGATTCATCATGGCTATCACAAATCCTCAGGACTGTACCCATGGGCAGGAGATGTTCTACTGCTTTCCTGACAATGTCTCCTTCACAAACATCTCAGATTCTCATTTTCAACTGACAACACAACTTTCCATTTTAAACATCAGCTTCTTTCAATGAGTTGACAGCTTTATAAAAATATGCATGTTTTCATAGACTTCTAAACCACTTAATAATATTCACGTTTGTCTCTATTTATATGATAAAATTATCATTTTGGCATTTATCAAGACTTGTGTTTGTTTACTCTTCAGTGCAATGTAAAAGATAAAGAAAACTGAATATATTTTACTGTAAACTAGAACAAATGCTTCATTCTTCTGACCTCAGTACACTGATGCTAATTGAGGAAAGAAAAGTGAAGCCTTTAATGTTTGCTGCAATCTCATCAAAGCATTACTCTTTTTACTTAACATGTGAGCCAAGATATTGTGCTCCAAAATATGTAGGTGATTATGAGTTGGATTTTTGTGTATGTGTCCTTCAGGACAGAGGAAAAAAAAAAAGTCTTTAAAGTATATAGAATCGAAGCGAGTGGGAAGCGAAACAATTAAAAAGAATGATTATCTGAAGAACAAACAGAAGCTATTATAACTTTAGTAGCATCCCTTGTTTAGGGAAAAGTGGATCCCTGGAGTAAAATGCTCCCACTGTTAAGAAGCTTGAATAATAGATCTGATGTGCAGACCCAGGTGTGTGAGGAAGCAAAATCACCTCCCAATTTTTGATGTTGTGGGACTATGATGGTCACATTATTATAAAAACAGAACACACAYATGTATTGTTCTGAAGCATGAGCCTTAAAGACTATTTGTGCATCAAATTTGGAACTCTTGAATTTGCAGTGCTGGCAGGAAGATACAATGAGAAGCTGAACTGCATGACTAGAAGCTGCAGTAAGAATCAGAGCTACACAAGAGGCATCATCTCCCTCCTCAGAGATATGTTRGAAGCTCTTATTGACTGGGTCCTTTGGAAGTAGATGCTGAAATAGGGTTTCTCCTGCAGGGTATTGACCAGGAATCATAACTAGTGAAAGGGAGAGAGAAACAGGATTGGAAAGGAAAAATAGAACTGCAGTGCAAGCTAGCGAAGCCTCCTTGGAGTTCATGGAGAATCTGGAGCACATAGGACCCATCAGAGCTCTCCCAGTTCAGAGTAAATAGCCAACGTTTTAGTACTGCTGCTTCCATCAGTGGGATTGCAAATGGACACCTGGGGAAGGAAGAGCCCTTGGGCTAGGCAGCTCTCTGCAGCTGAGCACTAGACAGGAAGTGAGAGCAGGAGATTAACTTCTGCTGATAGCTGGGGCACCACAAGCTTCCTTCTTAGGGGAGGTCTGGAAGCTGGAAGGCACAGCTGTGTCCACCACAGATGCCCTGAATTTTTACTGAAGACTTATATACATTTTAATGAGAATTTCACGTTTTCATATTGATGATGATCTTTAAAAAACCAGTGCARCATTGCTTTCATTTTCATTATAGTCTGTACTATAATTTATCACAATTATACTGATAGTCCCTGCAATTAATATCAAAGTCAGGAAAACTCACCRATGAGCTATTGCATTTAACAAGCAGGAGTCCTTGACTTCTATGGGAAAAAACGTAATCTTTCTCTCTCTTTTTTTTTTTTAAATTTACATATGACAGCTGAATGCATTACAATTCTTATTACACATATGGAGCACAATTTTTCATATCTCTGGTTGTGTGTGTTCATGTTTTGATACCTGTACTTTGAATACTATTGATCATCCCATTCCACCACCCTTCCCCTTCAACCCCTCTGCCCTATCTAGAGTTCTCTTAAAAAAAAAAAAAGCAACAAAAAATTGGACCATCTGAATGACTTCCTTATATCAAGTAGCACTGAAATTATATTCCCTACCTTTCATCTGTATTTCAGTCAGATTGACCATACATAGTTGTACATTGATTATTGCCAAATAAGGGGAAAAAATACAACAAACAGAGTTAATATATACACAATTTGTTTTTATAATTCCACAGGTGAAATAGAGGGGAAAAATCCAAAATCCATAGCATGTATATAAAAAATAGCTTCACAGTAGTTTAAATACAGTAGCAAGAGTTGAGTTGTCATCACATGACTCCTGCTAAGAAAGCCCTAAAGAGTACCAGGAGCCCGAGAGCCTTGGCTGGTTAGGGCTTCAGTTGTGGTTTTTGCTTCAATAAAACAGTCACTAATTTAATTAAAATCCTGTTGACTGTATAGCTTTTCTGTATTTAACTTGTAAATTTGTTTCTTACAGTTCTTTAAATTATGAGACAAAACTATTTCTGCCTATTTTTAGGTTGGTAAAGTTATTATAAAAATATTTTCCTTCCATAATAAGGGAACGTGAGACATCTTTGCACCAGTTTATTCCTACATTCTTGAGACTGAGAAATACTGTTCCATGTAGTTACTACTTAAAGTCATGAGAGATGAGATATTCAAGAGTGTACAGAGAGGCACATCAAGGATAACGTCATTAAGCACTTAACCTTCTATTATCTTGTACTTTGGGACATGTTATTCTTGATTCTCCAAGTATTCGAAAAGCTCCTGGTAGGAACTGAATGCAGCATCTAATAGTTAATAAACATTTGTTTGTTATTAATCACCTGTAGAACAAGACTGCCTTTGACCTAGTTATCAGGAACATGGGTTATCAAGATCTTTAAACTGATGAGTGAATAAATCTTAGGAACTCACATCTATTTCACAAGAATATTTGGTTATTTTTTTTCCCTGAACAGAAAAGCATAGTAGCAAAACAAAGCAGAGCCTCTACCCTTATCTACTTTCTGCCTCAATTTAATCAGAGATTTCCACTGAAACTTATTCCTTCTTAACTATTTCTTGCCCCTAACAAAGTAACCTGAAGGAAGTAAACCTCTTTGAAGCTGTTATTACTTTAAAATTTACCAAGCATTTCTCAGTTTTAAAAAGGTGGTGGCAGCCAGGCACTGTGATGTACACCTGAGGCGAGACTCCCAATCAAGAGGCAGAGGCAAGAGGATAGCGAATTCAAAGGCAGCAACTTAGCAAATTATCAAGACCATAAGCAACTCAGCAGGAGTCTGTCTCTAAATCAAATATAAAAAGAGCTGGAAATATTGCTCAGTGGTTAAGCGCCCATGGGTTCAATCCCCAGTACTGAAAAAAAAAGAATAAAAAGGTGGTGGCAGAAAGCAATAGTATGTGTTAATGCAAGCATTTTGCCATATGCTTCCATTAAAGATATTAGTTGGATGGCATTTGTGTTTAGGAATTGGGTCCCTGTCCATTTCACTTAGAATTTTAATTTCAACCTTACCTGAATCATCTTCAAAAATCAGAACAGGTTAACTGTCTTGCCTCTTTCTAGTGGTGTCAAGAAATATTTGTTCCCTCTTGTCATTCCCAGAAGAAGTCCAGATCCAGATTATCCAACTAAGAAAATCCAAAGAAGTCCTCCACTGGAGTCATGCTGTATACTTTTTCTTAATTAATGACTTCTATCTCATTTTCTGCTGCCCCCCCCCCGCATCCCCCGCACAAGAAATCAGTGCTAGTCTGTTTCTTAAGGAGGGGAGGCCTGCAAGAGGCATGGTTCCCATAAATGCTTCATGGACTGTGCCCAGGAAATTAACTTTCCCAATCAGATAAGCTCTTTTAGAAATTTACACTTACTCTTAAAAGTGCATAAAGTATTTACCAGAATAACAGAGCAAATATTCCAAGTGAACTGGAGACACCATGAGCTAGAGAACACATAGACCAGGAGAGAAAGCAATGATTCTCCAGAACAATGATTTTTCAACTTCAGCACATGTCAGAATCACCTGGAGGACTTGAGAAAACACACATTTCTGGGCCTTCCCACAGAGTTTCTGGTTCAGTATTCTAGAGTGGGGCCTGAGAACTGCATTTCTGAAAATGTTGTTGGTTCAACGGACCACATTTTAATAAGTTTGGAAGTTGGACATAAGAAGGTGCTAGGTAGGGACATCTGTTTAGAGTCTGGGGCAAAACTCGAGCAAGATGTAGGAAGGAAGGGGGAGGAAAATTGAGAACAAAGGAGAACACAGAAATTACAGCCTAAAGTCAACACAGCTGTGGTGGTTAAACTGAAAGCCTGGTTCCTAGCCTGCCAGCATTCAGGGACTGAGCTTTATAGCCATTACTGAGAAAAGGGAGACCATACACCAGTTCCTCAAGAGTACACCAAGTTTTCTGAGGATAAACTCAACAGGATGTCTCACTTGGAATATTACTCAGGGAACATGAGTAAAACTGGGTTATGAACAATGTTCCTTTTTTTTTTTTTCCCCTAGTACTGAGAATTAAACCCAGGGGCACTTTACCTGTGAGTACATTTCCAGCCCTATTTATTTTTTATTTTGAGACAGGGTCTTGCTAAATTGAGGAGGCTCGGATTGTGGGCATGTACCACCTCGCCCAGCTTGAACAATGTTCTTGATAACATCAGGCAGGTAAAGAATTGATACACTCTTAYAAGACACTTGATCACTCCACTGATGTTTGCTACTCAACAAGGAAAATTATCAGTACATTTAGCTTTGGCATTTTCATTATATTATTCATTTGTAGCAATGTGTAAGTGGATGTCCACTAAAACAAAAACAAACACACACTAGACAGTCTGATCCTCATTCTTAACTCCCATGTGATTCCTGTCCTCACCAGCTAGCACCCAGGATAATGGTGACTTCTAAAATGAGCATTATGCTTTCAGGCTCTTYGTCTTCCAAAATGACTTTTGTATTACTTCCAGAATTACCTTCTTAAAGCATGCTTTGCATAAGATCACTTGCTTACTCAAAAGCTTTCCATGAAACCTGTGGGATGAGGAACAAACTCSGTAGCCTATCTTCAAAGCTTTCATMATGTGGCCTCAACATGCTGGTCTGGCCTTATCAGCCATCACTGCAAGAAGGAACAGTTACTGGAGCATAACTAAAGCGTGTCTTTACACTGAAAATGTTTTGCATGYCCTTTGCTTTGCCCTTGAATTCTTGTCTTTCTCTCATCTTTAATGCCCAAAACTCTCACAGAAATTCTATCAACCTTTCTGTCTTCTCCATGCAACATCCTTGACAACCTAATTGCAATTTACAAAATTCCCTCCTTTGAAATTTTGTAATTCTTGAGGTTGTTACATGTAGGAACCTKGTGGGGCAATCCATACTAAAAATTCCTTGAGAACAGAGAATGTGTTTTAAAGCCTCTTTTCATTCTTTATAGCCCATGGCACGATGCCTTGGAATATAGTAAACACTAAAATATTTAACATGAGATTTRTGGTGCAAAAGAGAAACTGCATATTTGTACCA